CCTGGGTTAGTAATGAGGTAGACATGGTTTTATATATCTAATGGTTATTTGTGTCTATGACTGTTTCCCTGCCTTCCTTCCTAACTTCCTTCCTTCCTTTCTTTTTCTTTTTTAGCAGTACTAGGGTTTGAACTCAGAGCTTGGCACTTGCTAAGCAAGCACTCTACTCCTTGAGCCATACCCTCAGCCTCTTTTTTGCTTTAGTTATTTTTCAGGTAAGCTCTCTTGCTTTTGACCTGGCCAGCCTCAAACTGTGATTCTTCTACTCATGGCCTCCTGAGTAGCTGGGACCACAGGCATGAACCACCACAGCTGGCTTATAGGTTGAGATGGTGGTCTAACTTTTCCCCCAAGCTTGCCTTGAACTTCTATCCTGTTTTCTGCCACCTGAGTAGCTGGGATTACAGGTGTGAGTCACTGCGGCTGGTCCTCTGGCAGTCTCTCTTTGTGTTGGAGACCATGCAGTGTAATGACTATCATAAGTTCATGAGCTTACAGCCAGATTACTTGGAAGACTGAATATCTGGTTATGGGATGTGGTACTGAAGACAGTACCCTCCCAGCATTGATCTGAGAACCATGAATGCCTCTCACACATGATCGCTCCTACATTCAACAGAACTACGTGCTGTTTTTCAGAGCACAGAAGTTTAAAAATACATCCTGTTTTGCCCAGAAGTTAACTATTAAACCACATATGCTTCATGATCAATAGCTATGCACAGCAACTCAATAAATACTGAGGGAGTTGGGAACTCTGGGTCTGAGTCCTTTCTCAGAACCCCAGCCTTCCCCTTGCTTCCAAATTTCAACTTGACACCAAGTCTTCCTTTTTAAAGCGCACTCCATCCCTCTTCTTTCTAGGTCCGTGGCAAGTGGCGCCCAATGTGGGGTGATCACAGTATGGGGCGTGAAGACAGGGACCTAAGGAGATTTGTGGTAATCGTAGGTAATGTGTGTGTGCTCCACCTAACAGAGTCGCGACTATAGGTGTGAGGGTGATGTGGTGTGGATGTTAAAGGCTGGGTAACCTGGGGCAGACTTCATCTAGTATTAATCGTGTTTCCCTCACAAAGTGCCTTTTAAGGCAATCTGGAGCCTTTGTAAGCTCTGATCAAATCAAAGAGCTTATTGATTGGGTTCTCAAATATTGTCCCTGGTTCCCAGAGGAGAGGATATTGGATGTTGAAGTTTGGGACTGTATTGGTAAAACACTACAAAAGGGGCACAGATAGGGCACTCATATACCAGTACAGATATTTTCTATGCGGTCACCGGTAAAAACAGTGCTTGAGCCATTTTAGGAAAATGAAAGTAAAAAACAAACTGTGGCTCAGTTTAAGTGTCCTGTGCCTAGCGCTCTGCCACCACCCCCTCCACAGGAATGGAAAGAAACTAACCCCTTTAAAAAGGAACTGGATGTATATTTAGTGAAAGAACCTAAAACAGAAGAGTTGACTCCTGTCCAAAAGGCTTGGAATAAATATAAATTTCAGATGATTTCCAGATGATTTAATCCTATTTCCAATTACAGAACAAGCTGACAGGGAGGAATTCAAAGAGTTCATCAGATGTTTGATTTAAAACTCTTTGTGCCCTCAGAGATAGTGTGAGGGAGAACGGGGTTCAGGCTCCGTTTACATTAACTGTTTTGGAGGCTTTAAGTAATCTGCGGTCACCTCCTTGGGATTGGCATCAGATAGCCAAAGCGGCTTTATCAGGAGGTCTCTATTTGCAATGGAAAACAGCTTCTGGAGATTTTGCTCAAGAAGCTGCCAGGCTTAGTGCTCAAAACGACATGGCTATCACCTTTGAAATGTTAACGGGGACTGGTGCGTTCTCAACCTTACAGGCACAATTGACTTATAGCCCTCAGGCTTATGCACAGCTCTCCCTATGTGCCTGTCGCACATGGCAACCTTTACCAGAACCTGGGGAGCCTAATAAATCTTTTCTAAAATGCTTTCAAGGACCTACTGAGGCTTTTGCTGATTTTTTAGATTGCTTTGACTAAAGCCATACGCGGACAGGTTGTTCGTGCCCAAGCCGCTGGTGTACTCATTGGCATATGAGAATGCTAATGCAGACTGTAAAAAGGCATTAGAGCCAATAAAGAGAAAGGGCCTTTGTCAGAATTTATTTGGGTATGTCAATTTGTGGGGACACAAGAACATCAACAAGGAGTGTTTGTTGCTGCGTTAAAGCAGGCTTTAACCTAGTAATGGTACTTGTTTTAAGTGTGGAAAAAGAGGACACATACAAAAAAAAATGCAAATTTAACCAAACTCAAACATCTCCACCTGATTATGGATACTTCCATTCCTGGGTCCCCTCATCCTCGTGGGCTTGGCCCTATGCTTCAGTCCATGCATCCTTAGGACAGCCTAACCCATTTTGTCTCCTCTCATCTGGAGTCACTCAAACTACAGATAGTCTTGCAAGTCTCACCAATACAACCATGGACCATAACACACCCTTTGGGTTTGGATCCCTAACTCCTGTTAGGGCCCTTCTTCACCCCCTCCCAGCAGGAAGTAGCTAAAGACTAAATCTGGATTCTCCATCTCCCTAACGGCAGTTAGGGTCTCCAACCCACAGGGGGGATTTGTAGCAGTTTCTATGACATAAATCAAACTTAGATCACCCAGGAATGCAGAAACTTACTATGCTAAAGAGCAGCAGAGAAACCACCTGTAGGAGAAGGAGCAGGGAGAACAAAAGCCCTTGCACACCCAACTCGGACCTATAGAACTACCCCTCCATACTTCCTCCCTTTGTGTTAAAATAGCTGTAAGTAGCCGCATCAATCCTCAAAGTCTCTCATAAAAGAATTTCCAAACCTTACTAGACAAAAAGCAAGATTTATTATCCAATCTTGCCCTTCTTGTCAATTGCTACCTACTTCTGCTCCTATGGGAGTGTAAATCCATGAGGATTACATGCTGACCAAATCTGGCAAATGGAAGTTACACATATAAAAACTTTTGGCTGGTTGGGATTTGTTCATGTTACAGTACATACATTTTCTCATGCAATGTGGGCTACTTGTCACACAGGCGAAGCAAGCTGTAAAGCAGAGTTGTTTAGAATGCTTTTCTATTTTGGGGATACCACATACTATTAAAAAAGACAATGTCCTACTTACACAGGAAAAAGTTTTCATCAGTTTTGTGCTATTTGGGATATTCAACACATTACAGGGATTCCTTATAATCCTCAAGGTCAGGCCATTGTGGAAGGTATGAATGGTGTACTTAAAAGACAATTGTTAAAACAAAAAGGGGGAATAGATATGGAATCCCCATGTTCTCAATTACACATGGCTTTATTAACCTTAAATTTTTTCACGTTTTCAGATGATGGCTATGCACCTCTTGAACAGCACTCTCAAAAAAACCGTATGATCACTCAAAACGTTGCCTTTGGTCATGTGAAAACAACCTAAATCAGATAAGCTACTGACATGGGGGCATGGATATGGGTTGTATTCAAGAATGTGATAACCTAGATTGTGTTGAGTTCCAGGAAGAACTCTAAAACCATACAATGGATGGAGAGATAACCAGCCTACACTGGATGATGACCCCAGGCTCAGCCCAGCAATGCTTCAGACCTTTATGTTCTAGTTATTTTTTAGAGAGGGTCTTACTTTTTGCTCAAGACTGCCAGACCTATTTTAGGCTTCCTGCAGTATCTGGGATGATAGGCAAGCTCCACCATGCCCAGCTTTTTTCTGAGATGGGGTCTCTTGAACTGTTTTGTCTAGGCAGGCCTAGAACCGCAATCCTCTGGTTTTCAGTCTCCCAACATGCGAGCAATCTGTGCCAGGATAAGTTTGTGGTAATTTCTTAGAGGTGCAATGGGAAATTAACATACAGGTCAACTCAAGTCACAGTGGCAATACATTAAAGGGTCTTTGTATAAAGTCAGGAGTGAGGATAGAATGTTCATGCAGAACTTTCAAAGATGAACGCCCAAAGAGCTGAAGAAGGGAGATTGCTTCAGAGAGCTGGTCCAGGTAGATTGAAGTAGAATCTGCAAAGGCACACAGAGCATGGAAAGTGTTTCAATAAGGCAAGACTGCTTGCACTAAATAGTACTCAGTCAGAGCGAATATTTGTTTGCATACCAAGCACTGATGCACTCTACAACCCTAGGCAGTACACACTGTTTGTTATCTCCATTTTACCCATTGGATACTGAGGTCTGAGCAGGTAAACAGCCTTCCTAAGATTAGCAAGTTTGCAAGTGGCAGAGATAGAATTAAAAAAAAAATTCGACAGGCTCTAAAACCCACTAACTGCCCCATTGTGGCGGAGCCTTAAGTACATAAGCAAGGGGGCATCAGTGTGACTGAGGATAAATGAACTCGCAGGACATTAATGTGGTAAAGATCAATGGAGCCTACAATAGCATTTTGTGTAGGACGCTGGTTGAGGATGGCGGTGACGGTCAAATGACCTGTAGGTTTCTTTGATGGGACCTTGGTTTTATTGTTACCTAAGGTATGAAGGAGCTTTCATTGACAACTCAAACTGAATCGCTAGTATTTTACAAACACCACACCTTGTATAATCCTTTTTGTTTAAAATCTTTTTTCTTTTTTTCTAATGTCTGAGGCGGAGTTGAGGGTTGGTCCTCAGTTTCCGTATCTGTAAAATGCTTCCAAGTAGTTCCAAACTTGGCTCAGAATACCTTGGAGGAGGTGTGCTTAAACAAAACACAGCTTTCCCACTCCGTCCCCAGGACTCTGTGAAAAACTAGGGTACCCTCTAACCCCAAGAAACCCTCTTCAGGTATTCTTTGGCAGGAGGCCAGCTTTGGGTAACTCGGGGCTGGACCTCTGCGCCCACACTGGCTCCTCCCCCCGCTGGCCGCTCCACTTGGTCTCGTCCCACCCCGCCCAGTCCTGAGGACTGCGTCCCCCCGCCTCTACCCTCCACTTGGTCTCTCCCAGCCCCGCCCACCCCAAGCCCTGCCCCGCCCACCCCAAGCGCAAGATGGCTGCTGCCATGCAGTCCGGCCCGGAGCCATGGAACCGCGTGAGGATCCCCAGGGCTGGGAGCCGCAGCACGGTGGCAGTGCGGGATCCCGGCGCCACTCTGGGTGAGTGGGGCGCGGGGCGGGGACGGCGACTTCTCCCGAGGAGCCTTTGGGCCGGGCCGGCGCTTGTGGGGCGGGGCGGGGCTTCCTGAGCCTGGAGGACGCCGGGAAGGGGCACGGCGCGGCGCGGAGCGGCGGGCAGCGCCTGGGCACGCGTGGGCCTGTGCTCCGTGGTCCTCCGCTGGTCCACCTCGGTTAGTGCTGATGCGGGGCTGCCGGAACTTGTCCTGGCGTCCGCGTCCCACGCCTGTCCCGGAGCTGGGGCGCCCTCGGCTCCCTGTCTGTGAAATGGAGCTCGTTTTCCCTACCCGCGCCGGGGTGGTGATCTCTTGATGTAATTTAATTAAGGACCGTCTTCTGTGAGCTCAAGTGTTCTATCAACGACTGATGGCTGTTTTTAGCCAGGTGCCTTAGGGAGGTTACTTAACCCTTATATGCTCAGTTAGCTCACTTTCACATGCGAATAAAAGTAGTTCTAGACTTTTAGGGCTGTTTTGGAGGAATGAAAGAGTTGATATAATAAATAAAGGATTTGGAACACTGCCTGGTACGACAAACACTCAAATGATAGTTGTTAATATTAAATACTTAAATTTGATAATAGGTACTAATATTACATACAGCCTGTCAAATCAACACATCCCCCTTCATCTATCCATCCTACACAATCTTCTTACTATTAAATTTTTTTCTTTTATTAAACAGGATGCCTGTTAGGTATGGAAAATTAAGTAACTCACTCATCATCCCCAAGGTAGCTGATACCATGTTTAGACAGTTGGGACAGAAAATTCGTCCACCTAGACTGCTGGTGCTCCCCTTAGAGTTAGGACAGTAACTGCATCTTTCGTTTAACAGTGTTTCAGATTAGGAAACATATGGGCATCGGTGTTGAGTCAGGTATTTATATAACTTCCAGTGGCCATGGTGGTTTTTCTTTTCTAAATGTAGTTGACCCTCAGTGTCCCTGGAGAACAACCCCTTGGAAACCAAGGGGTTTTCATATGCTCAGGTCCCTTAATAATATGTTTTTGCATATGACCTACACATATTCTTTTGTGTCCTTAAAATCATTTCAGATTACTTATGGTATCCATACAATGTAAATGCTATGTAAGTATTGTTTAAGGAATAAGGACTAGGAAAGGAATCTGTACATACGTAGTACAGGTGGACTTTTAAAAAATATTTTTACATCTAGGTTGGTTGAATTCATAAATATGGAACCCAGGGATACAGAAGACTGAGTGCATATTCTCATTTAAAAGTGTTATTCAAATACAGTTCCTCTGACTTTGAAAGCTGTAAATGTATCCATTCTGTTTTGCTTAAGTGCATAGCAAAATGAAGGATTTAGAGAAGTACACGTCCCCAGCTTTGAGGCACTTAAGGTGTTAAGTGTACACCAAATTACTGACTGCAAAGTACTCATATGAATTACTTACAGTTAAAATACGATGTAAAAATATGTATATTCTTGTTTAACAGATATTCTCTTTAATTTCCCAGACTCTATATCATCTGTCACCATTTTCCAACTTCTGCGTACTTAGGATCCTTCATTATATTTGAATACTTGAGGCTGATTACATTAATTTGTGTTTTGGTTCCTTTAAAGCAAATAAGAAAAGATGCTTCTTTTATAGCGTCTTTCATATAATATACTTGATGTAAAAACGCATACTGAATCTTATTAAATGTCTTTGCTTTAGACATTTGCATTGCATCTGTAATTAAAGAATGCCATCTCATCACACAGTCACTGAGGAGCCAGACCTTACATGCCGAAGTGATGTGTTATGTGCAGTCCTGTACAGCAATCACAACAGAATGGGCCGCCACAAACCCCATTTGGCCTTCAAACAGGTGAGGGGGAAGTCCTGTGTTTGATACCTAACCTGTTTTTTCTTAGTAATTTTTCTATTAGAATATATTTGTTCTGGGGGATTCATTGTGACAATTCCAAATAGACTTATATTGTACATTGATTAGGTTACTCCCGCTGTCTTTCCCCCTTAACCCCCTCTCCGCCCCACTTAAAGCAATTGTAGTAGGTTTCTTTGTTCTATTTCATGTAAGTGTATGAAGTCCATTAACCATATACCCTCACCTTAATCTCCTTCATTCACCGCCCCCCCCCAAACCCCTCTCTCCACTCACTGTACCTATTTTACAGTCCTGTCTTTCGTTATTAAGTCAATGCTTAAAGGGGTTTCTCAGTGCATCCCTGCTTATGAGTATACTTTTCTTAGGTCCATTTAACCTCTTCCATTGCTCTCCCTTACCCTTTTACCTCCCATCCCCCATTTTTCAACAGCTTTCATTACATATCCGTATATCCTCTACCTTCACAGTTGCTATGTTTTACAGTATTGCTGATGCTCTTATCATTCTCTTTTCCTTTCCCTCCTTCCCCAAGTTACATAGAGTAGTTCCATTATTATAAATATGTTCTACGTATGAGTTTGTATATGTTTATCTTTTGGATCTATCTTCCATGTATGAGAGAAAACATGCAGCCTTTGTCTTTCAACCTAACTTACTTCACTTATGATGTCCTCCAGTTGCATCCATTTACCTTCAAATCACATGTCATATTCCATATGGCTGAGTAAAACTCCATGGTGTATATACACCACATTTTCTTGATCCATTCCTCAGTTGTAGGGCATCTGGGTTATTTCCATAGCTTGGCTATTGTGAATAGTGCTGAGATGAAGATAGGTGTACAGGTGCTCTGCTGTATCCTGACTTAGGTTTTTTTGGGTAGATGCCCAGGAGCACTATCACTGGATCATACGGAAGTGGTAAGCTATCTTAAGCTTTTTGAGGAATCTCCATACTGGTTGTGCTAATTTGCATTCCCACCAAGAGTGTATAAGGGTTCCTGTTTCGCTGTATCCTTGCCAGCATTTGTTGTTATTGCTCTTAAATATGGCCATTCTAACTGGGGTGAGATGAAATCTTAGTGTAATTTTGATTTGCATCTCTTTTATAAAAGAGAAGTTGAACACTTCTTCATGTATTTACTGGCCATTTGTACCTCTTTCTTTGAGAATTCCCTGTGTAATTCATGTGCCCGTTTCTTCATTGGGATGTTGATTCTTTGGGAGTTGAGTTTTTTGAGTTCCCTATAGATTCTGGATTTTAGTCCCTTATCAGATGAATAGCTAACAAAGATTTTCTCCCATTCTGTGGGCGGTCTCTTAAGTCTGATGACTTTCTTTTGCTGTGCAGAAGCTTTTTAGTTTAATGGAATCCTATTTGTTCATTCTTTCTCTTCGATATGGAGCTTTTTGAGTTCTACTATATGTTCCAGTGTATTTCCTACTACTTTCTGTAGTTGTTTTAGCTTCAGGCCTTATATTAAGGTCTTTGATTCACTTTGAGTTAATTTTGGTACAGGGCGAGAGACAGGGATCCAGTTTCAATCTTGTACATGTGCATATCCAGTTTTCCCAACAACATTTGTTGAAGAGGCTGTCTTTTCTCCATCATGTGTTTTGGGCTCCTTTATTGGAGATCGGTTGGCTGTAGCTGCACGGGTTTATGTCTGGGTCTTCTTTTCTAATCCATTAGTCTTCATTTCTGTTCTTAGGTATTGTGATAGCTCCAGCATTGGACTTTTTGCTCAGAATTGCTTTGGCCATCCAAGGTCTTTTGTGTTTTCATATGTATTTTATGATTGTTTTTTTTTATCTCTGTGAAGAATGTCATTGGGATTTTTATAGGGATTGCATTGAACATGTAGATTGCTTTTGGTAGTATGGCCATTTTCACAATGTTGATTCTACCAATCCACAAGCATAGACGATCTTTTCAACTTCTGATGTCTTTTCCGATTTCTCTCTTCAGTGCCTTCTTGTTACTTGATGAAGATATAGACCACACTACCACTTACTATTTTGTCATTAATGGAAATTTCAGTAAATTACTTGTGATTTTTTTTTCAAGTCTATTGTCCATAGTTACATGTGGTCTTTCTTTTTTTCCTGAAACCATTTCAAAAAATAATTTTTGTTCAAAAGGAAATATGTTTAGATTCTTTCCCAGTCAGTTCCAGTGGGGAATTAAAAATTTTCATTATGTGTAATCTGTTTAACAGTGCCTTTGCCCAATTCAAAGACAAAATGATTTGACTGAGACATAGTGTTGGCCATTAAGAAACAATTTTCTGAGCATAATTTAAATCCCCAAAACATAAAAAGAACAAAATTGTGGTTTATTTATTGTGGAGTCATAAGCTATTCAATAGTATGTTGGAATAAGTGGTCATACAGCAAGTTGTGGTATAAATTAGTTTCATGTGATTTTTAGAACTTAAGACAAAATTGGTCCCTTAAACTCAGGGACTACACTGTAGTGGAGAGCTTCTTAAACTGGGTTTCTTACGTGCTTGTTTATTAATCACTTTATTAATTCTGTAAGTAGTTTTTAGAAATCCAAATTGGTATCCATTATGTGATAGCTACCTTGGGAGTAGTTTTCTACAATTTTCCCTGTGCCATACACTGTGCTTGATGCTGGGTGCACGGGAGTAAAAAAGACATCATTTCTGGTTTGTTTTCTACTGACATTACTAAAGGCAAAAAGGATGAAGATTCCTTTATCTAAGAAAGATCTGTGATCATGGTCTTTTTCTGTTTTCTTCCATAGGTTAGCTTTTACCTGAGTCTTCTAATCTAGAAGCAAACTTTTTAACTCTTAGATTGAATGTGTTTCTCCTGTCTTTCAGGTTGTGGATAATCACTTAAGTTATAAAATTTGTTTCTTCCTTTTATGTAGCTTTCCCATGTAGTCAGTTGATAAGTCAAAACTTTCTCTGCATCTGGTTTTTTCCTTCAATTCTGGCTGCCATTTTCTTGTTTTAAACTCTGTCAACTTGTAATGGTCTTATTATCCTAACTGGTGTTTCCTATACTAGTTAGTCCTTCCTACATTCTGGCATATACTATAGACCAAAACCAGATTAATTACCCTAAAACAACTTTGATGTTTAATAGTTCTCCATTGGTGTCCTGAATAAAGACCTTAGCCTGGCTTACGATACCCACTATGATTTGGCCTCTTCAGTCTTCCAAAGCTCAGACTTCTCTCTCACCTTCAGGTAAATCTTGTATTCCACCCAACCCGAACTCTTAAGGAGACTGCATACCTACCATGTTTATTACCTCTTCTGAGTCTTTGCTCCCTGGCTTGTGTGTTTAGAAAGCCCAGCCTCTCCGTGTCTGCCTTTAGAGGCTTTTGCATCCTCTAGGCCCCATTTTGAACCTTCCTGGTGGTGCAGACTTCTCTCCAAGATATAACATGAGTGTATGTTGTGGAAACCTTATTTTAAGTAGCTTTCTTCTGATTATTATTAGTGAATTTGAACTCCTTTTTTGAAAGGTTCTTGGCTATCTGGGGCTCTTCTCTGTATTTATAACATTTAATACAGTTGGGTTGAGCTACTGTTGCTTGTGTACATGCTTTATGTTCCCTGTTAACCCTCACTAGGGAACATGTCTCATGATACTGCTGCTGCAGCTGCTCTTGTCACTATTGCTACTGTTTTATATCTGCTTAACACGTCACAGTTCACAGAAAACTTTCTTACACTAGTATCTCCAACATTCCCCTAAATGGAACAGAACATATCCTTGATTCTTCTTCTGAGTGACAACTCTTTGGGTATATGAAGATTGTTCTCTCTTCCTTCCTGAAGTTCTCAAGTTCTTTTCTTTTGAACACTATAATTGAACTATAGTTCATTTACTATATTTTCAAAGTGCTTTACCATCATAATATGTCAATACTTCTTTCAAGGGATGGTGTCCAGACATAAAAACTGAAAAAGACAGAAGCTGGCCCCAGGGAATTTAAGAATTGTTGCTTCCATTATTCTGCAAACTATGCTGTAAGAATCTGTAACTTTGATTTATTTTTTGGTAGTATATAGGGAGCTCTGACAAGGTATTGCAGTTGCCAGATCTTTATGTCCTTCAAAGTGCAGATGTAGACTGACTGTAATACAGTATATTCACAGATGAAATACCATCACAAAACCTCTTTGGACAGTGAATCTACACTTAAGCAATGAAGGACAAGAATGTAAACGTGGTCCTATTAGGTGGCGGGTATTTGTGGGAGGGGAAGGGTGAATGAGAGGATAAAGAAGGAGGAATATGGTCAACGTACTTATACATGTGTATGAAGATAGAACATTGAAACCTGTCCTAATCGTTTTAAGTGTGTGAGTGGCGGGGGGAGGGGGCGGATTAAAGAGAATGATGGTGGAGATGAACCTAACCGAGGTACATTGTAAGCATATATGGCAATGTTGCAGTGAAACCTCCTGTATAACTAATACATGCTAATAAAAATGTTTAAAAAACCAAAGTATGTATATTGAAGTCTTAACCAAGGCGACCTTATTTGGAAAGCTAAGATGAGGTCATAGTGGATTAGGGTGGCCTTAAGTCCAGTATGACTCATCTTTGTATAAGAAGAGGAAATTTGGGGACACACACAGATACAACATACCACAAAGTGTAGTTGCAGACGTATGTATGCCCTTGTATATTTCCTGACAACTACAGAATTCTGGAGTGTTTTGTATAATGCTTGGCTTTGGTATATATATCTTAAATAAGAAATGGTATTGAGTGTCTACTATACTGTTTTAAGAACTGGGCTCTAGTGGTGAGGAACATGTCCCTGTGGACCTTTCAGTATATTTTGGTCAATCAGTGGTATGTCAGGTGGTAATAAGTGCCATGAAGAAAAATAGAGAAGTAGAGGTTTAAAAATTTTAAATAATGCATATCTGTTTTAGTATTTAGTTTAAGTATTTTATTTGTCATCTTAGTTTTACTACTAGCAATTTGGAAGTACCTCATATACTATTTGTCATCTTAGTTTTACTACTAGCGATTTGGAAGTGCCTCATATACCACTTTACCTCTCAGCATTCCTTGCATGTAGAAAATGTTCAGTATACATTTGTTCAGTGAGTAAGTCATTTTCCTTCTCTCTGGTACTTATAAACTATTGAAATTTATAGTTACTAATTTACCCTCTTGTTTTAATAGATTCAGTATTATAAGTCAACTATCATAATGAGGTAACTGATAAATCATGTTACTTCAGCATAATTATATCTTGAGAATTATCTCACACTCATTTTGGTCCCCTTTATAGCATTAAGCACATTCTGGTATATAGTAATTTCTTAATCATTACTTGATTTGAAAAATATGTTGGACTGGATAAATTCTAGGAAGCAATTGTTTTGGGCCTCAGATTTCTTTACCCTTAAAAGTAGTCACTGATGGTATTTAGTATGTTTACATACTTTGAACATCTAGTTTCTTTGCTTTTCTGGTCATATCAGTGACCTTATCTGCATTATGGATTCACTAAATTGAACTGCTTTTCCTCCTTCAGGTTGAACAATGTTTAAAACGTTTGAAAAACATGAATTTGGAGGGCACAATTGAAGACTTGGCTGAGTTGTTCTCTTCAAAGTAGGTGGGCCATTGCTTTGTGATGTGGGTTGGAAACTTGATGTCCTAAAGTGATCTTCCTTTGGACTTTCTCTGCTTGGTGTTGGGATATACCTCACACCTGTTGGTGGTAATAAATCTCCCTTTGTTGGTCTGTGGGAGGGACCAGTGTGACCTTGAAATTTGGGTCACAGTAGGCTACGTTGAAACATAAGCGGGTTGTTACTGAATATAACTGCCTCAGATTGAGGTTAAAGTAAGTCATCACTGCTATAGAAGTACAAGTCCAAGGCTCTGAGTTCAGCCCCTTAGTTACTGCCAAAAATGAAAAACAAAACAAAAAAAACCCCACAGGTGCTTTGTTTAAAAATGAAAGTAATGTGCTTTTCTATTTTTGTCAAGTGAAAATCAGCCTGTAACTACCAGAGCGTGTGTCATCCCTAGCCAACCAGTGGTGGAATTGGTGTTGATGAAGGTTCTGGGAGCCTGCAAGTTGTTACTCCGCCTGTTGGACTGCTGCTGCAAGGCATTTCTGTATCCTGGAATCTACTCAAATACCTTGTTTTCAATGGGAATTGCTAGGATAAATTTAACAGCATTTCTGTTTGAAAGCTGGGGCTCTACAGGGTTATAACCTGTGGGAATTCTTAAAACTTTGCTTCTTGGCCTTTTCCCAGTAATTGCCAGATATAGCATTGCCAGAGACTATCTAGTATATATTATTCTAAGACCTTTGAAAGATAAAAAAATCTTAATCATAAAAGCTAAATTTAATAATGGGAGCTTTAGCAGAGTGTATAATTATATTTTTAAGTTCAATGTGACTTAAGGGGAACATATTGTAAGGCTTTAATACCTTAAGAAGATTCTTTTTTCTTCTAGTCTGTTTCTTCCTGCATAATAGTAACTTTGAAAAACCCAAATTCCTTTGGTTTGTTTTCTCACCTTAAACTGATTTCTTCAGCTTGACTGTAAAACATCTAGGATTGGAGGAGTTCGTTATTTTAAACCTTGTGATGGTTGGTCTGGTGAGCAGATTATGGTATGCATACATTTTGACAGCCTTGATTTCTTTTTCATTTCTCTATCCCAACCTTGGTTTCTTACTAGTTTTTATATAGTTTCATTTCATATTGTTTTCTTATGGATGGGGAAGGTGGTGAGGGAATTCCCTTTCTTCCCCTGATGCGTTTGCTTGTGGCAGACTGGGACGCTAAGTACCAATGGTTATGTCAAAGGAGTAGCCTTTGCATCTGAAGCCATGAAATCAACCTAACACTGGACAACTCAGCAAATGAATTCCGAGAATCTAGTAACTGGAATAATAAATTACATTGCAATGGAATATTTAAAATGGTGATAATATCCTGGGCTGCTATGTCTTGATTCTCTCTGCCACATTGTTCAATTTTTAGTGGCAATAAGAAATAAAATTTGACCTTCAAATGTGCTCTGGTCTTTTCTTCCACTTGAAATGCTGCTATCGTTTGAGGCAAATTTAGTTCATGTAAAGAACATAAATAATACTTGCAAACTAATGAGACATCCTCTTGTTCTTACAGTATAGGTATAGTGAAAATGATTTGATGGAAAATTAGGCTTGGAATTAGCTCTAATTTGAATGTAAGGAAACTGAAAAAAATAGTAGAAAATTCTTTCTGCCTTCAGAGATTGAAAACCTTGCTTTGATATTTTAACCTGGATAGCTCTAATCATCTTGGTCTTTATTCCATTTATTTTTAATCAGATAACATTTGAATTACTAATGATATTATTTTACTATTGAGATAGGGTCATGCTCAGTAGCCTGGACTGGTCTTGAATCCACGATCTTCCTGCTTCAGCCTCCTGGGTGCTAGAATTAACAGACTTGCACTACTATGCTAGATTTATTAATATTATTTTTTAAATGTTTAACATTTTATATTCTCTTCTGTAATGATGAGATTTAATTGCTGCTGATTACAACATGCTTAAGAAATTCAAATCTTATAAAAAATGTGAAGAACCTGAAATGTGCCTAAAATCTTCCCAGGTACATAAAACCACCAGTAAAATCTTTATGTGCATACTTGTACATATCTCCGGGTAGTACTTTGTTTTTGAGAAACATTTTGTACGTGGATTTTCTGTTGAGCTGGATTAATGACTGTTTGAAAATATGTGCTATGGCATTTTTTTAAATCTAGAGTAGAAGAGCTTGATAGCCATTTTGTTTTCAGTTTTGAATCTTGTAGTTCACTATATAATATGGAAATTGTAATTGCCAGATAATTCATGAGCTTCTCTTTCTTTCTAGGGTTCTTTATAGAGGTGTTTTAAAAAGACTGATTTCTTTATATGAGCCGTTGTTTGGATTGCTTCAGGAGGTCTGTAGGATTCAACCCATGCCTTACTTCAAAGATTTTACCTTTCCTTCTGATATTGCTGAATTTCTAGGACAGCCCTATCTCGATGTCTTAAGAAAAAAATGCCTGCAGCTTTTGCTGCTAAAGGAGTAACTAAGTTGCTAAATAAACTGTTTTTAAGAAAAGAGCAATTACCAAGGTCCAGTGAAGACACTTTATTTAGAATTTCCAAAACTGCTAAACAAATGAAGACCAGTATACAGAATAACGTGGATCTTGGACAGCCAGTGAAAAAGAACAAGAGAGTCATCAAAGGTAATTTTCTCTGATGTAGCTCATATTCTAATTAAATAAAACTTTTGAAAGCATGACATGATCATGCATTGTGTAGAAAGAAATTCAGTTTCCACTTTTTTGTGGGGGATGGGCGGTACTGGGGTTTGTACTGAGGTCTTGCTAGGCAGGTGCTCTACCACTTGAGCCACTACTCCAGCCCTTTTTGCTCTGATTATTTTGGAGATGGCATCTTGCTTTTTGCCTGGACTGTGACCCTCCTATTTTATGCTTCCAGCTATAGCTGGGATAACAGGCTCGTGCCATGATACCCAGCTTTTTCTGTTGAGATGGGGTTCTTACAAACTTTTATCTGGGTTAACTTGGAATCATGATCCTCCCTATCTCAGCCTCTCAACTAGCTTAGGATGACACGTGTGTACCACTATGCCCAGCTATTTTACTGGTTGAGGTGGGGTCTCACGAACTTTTTCCCCCAGCTGGTCTCGAACTGCAAAATTCCCCATTTCAGCATCCTAAGTAGCCAGGATTACAGGTGGGAGCCACCGGCACCCAGCCATATTTCACTTCTTATTGTTAATCTGCATTGACTATCTTTAGAGAGGTATGGATATACTTGTGTTTTCCAAGCTGGAGCACTTTAAAGTTCTTTGTTTTTGTTATTGCTTCATAGTTCTTTGCTTGCTTTATTCCCCTTATTTCTTTTGTAGTAAGTTGGCAAGCAATGTCATGCATTTAAGAATTTGTCAAAGATTTGAAAGTAGTATGCCTAAGTTTTTGTATCTCTGATTTTTCCACCTCCACAGAAGAGTCATCAGAATTTGATGTGAGGGGTTTCTGCAAACAGCTGAAAAACAAAGCTGCTCAGGTTTGTCTGGCTTGATTTAATATAGCTTTTGATTTCAGTTAATTTGTAGAGGATGCTACTTATCAAAGACAGGAATTGAATCTTGCTCCTCTAAGCCTTCTTGGTTCGCTCTGTGTGCCTTTGAATAGGAGAAAGGGATTTTTTTTAATGTGTCAAGTTAATTTAGTTAATAGAATACCTTCAGAAGTATTTTTGTAGGAGTTTGTAGAATTTTAAAGTGATGTATGCTCCATCATAAATATGGACTGTACTGCAGTTTAAGAGTATGGGCTTTGCTGTCAGAAGATGGCTTGAATATTTGGCTTTGGCTTGTACTAGCTCTGTGATCTGTAAATTTCCTGACCTCTTCACACCTCTTGTTTCATAATACTATGAACTTTATAGGGTTGGGCTGAATCTAATGTAAACATTTAACAAGTGTTAGATGTTATTGGTAGCTGTCCTTATTTTTGTTACCCTCCTCATTTGTCATGAGGCTTCTATTATTTTCTTCTTATTGAGGTTCAGTCTTTAACATGATTCATCTTTAGTGAGTGCCTGTAAGTTCTGGTTGTTCTGGACTTAACAACAGGTAAGTACGTCAATGTCACCCTTCTTCACCCACTAACTACTTTTATTATCCTTTGTCCTCAAAAAATGTCTTCTAGTTTCCTTTGAGATTCTTTCTTTTTGGTTTAGGAACTCTTAATTATTTCTAATAACCCACAAGTTTTTCTTGATCTTTTTGCAAGGACTTTAGCTTGCATTTATATTTTTCCCAACTCACTAGTTCACAGGGAGGAATAATATTAATAGCTAATACCTTCTGTGCTTGATAGTTGTTTTAAACGCTTTATATGTATTAACTTATGAAATCCTCAGAAGAGCTCTGTGAGGTTGATGTTCTGTTTTTCATGTTTTTCCTCAGATGAGGAAACTGAGCCATAGAAAGGCTAAGAAATTTGACCAGGTCACATGGTGAATTAAGTCATAGAGCTGGGATTTGAATGCAAGTAGTTTGTGTCAGTCTTTGTTCTTTACCATCACATCAGTCCCCAAGGGAGTTTTCTCAGTTCTGTCTTAAGGAAAATTCTGTTGTTCTACGACCTTTGAAATTTCCACAGCCTGTCTACCTGCTTATAGGTGATCTAGTCTTGATGCTGGTTGGTCAGCAACCCTTTTATTCAAGAGTATTCACTACATGTTTTTAGCAATTGTCATTAATATGCTTAGTTTGCTTTTAGGGCACCTTCTTTTATTGATCACCAATCAAAATATTGATGAGCCTCTACTTTTATATTTTCTACTTTTAAAATTCATATTTACCATGAGAAATTTGACAAGAAGTTAAGCTTTGAATGGAGGATAGAATCAGACTTGGTAGGCAGCATATTTTCATAGAGAAGTAGTAAAAATAAGTAAAATCCAAACTTGATATAGCAAGAATGGATTGAAGAAATAAAGGTGCCTTGTTAGAAGTGGTTCCAGTGGAGTTGGAAATGTTGCTCAGTTTAGCAGTTTTTACATGTTCAGCATAGATTCATCGATGGATAGGCCTACTCTACTAGGCACTTTGCAGAATCCCTGTCTTCAAGGGTTTTCAGTAACATTTATGATCCCTCATTAGGAGGGTTACCTGGGATACAAATGAGTGAAAAATAAGCATGATAATCCAATTATGTAGGGGTGAAGGGCACACCAGAGAGGTTTTTTTTCCTGCCAATAGGCTCTGACTAGTATTTAATCATGGAAAGTTTTATTCTTGGATGTATGTTAGATATGTGTGTTAGAATGCTTACATAGAGTTTTCTGTGTACATTTAATTAAAATGCAGATGGGATCTTTCAGTACAGAAGTGGCAAAAAACATTGTTGTATTAGGAGCAATAGATTTAAAACTTAAGTTTTTTAATACAAAAAGAAGTCTCACTAAGTGAAAAATTTCCTTCTTTTAAAAAGACTTAAAATTTCCATTGAGTCAGTTTTCTGTATGTATTTACCAGTCAGTAACATACTCAATGTGTTTTTCTCACTGTTTTCAGGAGACCAGCTTTGTGCTTAAATGTTCTCAATCGAAAGTGAAGACAGTGATAGGAACTCCCCAGGTCAGAAGATTTGTGCAGAGATTCCGAGAAGCTGAAACTTTTGTACAACTTTCTGAAGAAATCCAAACAGCAACTGTATGGTGCAGGAGCAAAAAACTCAAGACTCAGGCTGCCTATCTGGGCAGCAAACTTCTTAAAAGTAATCGACTTAAACATGTGGAAGCTCAAGGCTGCAGGTGAGTACATTCCAAAAATTTCTTCACTTTTCTGTTGTTTAGGGCAAAAGCACATACATTAGTTTCCTTCTTTAAAATACGGGATGTCTGGAATCCCTCTAGGTGCTAAAAGTGAGATCTACTCAAATCGTAATTTTATTTGCTGCTTTTGTTAAATGGGCAAAGTTGTATTATTGGAAGATAGTAAACTTACATTAACTACATTTTATACCCTTTGTCATTCCCATCCAGTCATTCAGAAAACATTAAGAATATGCGTGGTGTGCAAAGCTTGTAGTCCTCAGGGAGTTCGTGGTGTATGATTAACCATGGTCCTTCTGCAGACAGTGTCAGTGCAGCTGGAAGAGGGTGTGACAGAGCTGGTGCTGCTGCCTGGGAGGCCCATGTCAGGCTGCCAGGATCAGGATCAGGTTTGAAGTTCACAGGAGCTAGGCACTCACATATTACTGACTTCCTCTTTTCCTGTGACTTTTTACACTCAGAACTGTTTAGGATTGTGAGCCAGTAATGCCTGTGTTACGTGACGTTAGATACTTCAGAGCTTTGTATTTTCATTGAGAAAAAGAATAGATGCTTATGGTAACAATTTCAGATACAGATAGGTAGAAAGATGTGAAGAGGGAATAACACTTCATAGAGGCAATCACTTTGACCAATCTTTATGTGTACTTCAAGAAATTTTTTCTGTATGTGCACCGTACTTTCTCATCTATAGCTATAGAAATAAAATCTATTCTGTTCGGTACTTTATAATGGTTCCTGTGTATACACCACTGTACCAGTTTTACTCTGGCCACATGCGGTGGCTTACAGCTGGAATTCCAGTTACTCAGGAGGCAGGGATCAGGAGATTGTGGTTAAGAGGCCAGTCTGGGCAAAAAGTTAGCCAAGCTCTACCTCAACAACTGTAGAGTGTAGTGGTGCACACCCAGTAGGAGGTCAGCCCTAAGCAGAGCATGAGACCCTAACAAAACCTAAGCACAAAAGGGGTGTGGCTCAAGTGATAGAGTGCCTGCTAGCAATCACAAGGCTCTGAGTTCAAGTTCTAGTACTGCCAAAAGTAGTTTTATTTAAAAATTATGGAAAAGATACTTGTTTTAGAAAAATATTTGATATATAATTGGGGTTTCACAATAACTTTTGACTAAGAGTTAAAGAGGGATCTATTCTAAGGTTGTTAACTTAGTCTGAGATGGAGAGAGGCATTCTGTTCAAGATTGGGTTTAAGCTCAGGGGTAGATGAGGCAGAGATGACAATGGTTAAAAGTTAATGAGAAGGGCAACCAACTCATGTTTGTTAGTTAGCTGTGTTAGTCTGTATCTCCCAAATGCAGTGCTCATATTGCCGTTTCACTAATACGTTTTTTGTAGTACACATTATATGTTTAATGTCCACAATAAGTCTGTAAGGTCTGCAGTATTATTCCCATTTTACAGATGAGGAGGGTATCAGAACTGGAGATCCAGAACTCAGTCAGTCCTCTGATTCCTGTTTTTATTCCTTTCCTTTCCATTTCAAGTCAGAGGAGCATCCACTTTCTCCCCACTTAAAAGTCACTGTTGATAGGAAGACCATGAAAATGGTTTGGAAACAGATCATTAATTACTTCAATATGGTGGACTTCCTTAAATTTTTATATTTGTTTTAAAAGAAGAAAGGAGGGATGTGGGGTAGAGTACAGACCTATGGCTAATCTTATAAAATTTAATGATCACAGCGATGAACTATGTGGTAGTACACAGTATTCAGAAGCAAAACACCTACAAAGATCAGCTATTTGAGTTTTGAATTCTGTAGATTTGAAGATGACATATGAATCACACTCAAGGCTGTCAGTTCCTCTGTGCCTTTTCATTCTTTTATAACTCCCCCTTTTATTTCTCTCCTTGTTCATTTCCTGAAACAATGTGAAGTTGCTTAACCAGACATGGATTATAATATACCGGCAGGAGTTTTTCATTTGTGGTATTTCCCCATTTCTACTCCTGTTACATTTTGAACAGATGATAGGTGTGAAGGAAAAGCTGCAATACTAAAGTGTGGAGGTGTCTCATCATTCAGCTACTTAGTGTAGGCAGTTTTAGGCATTACTTTTACAGCAAAATGGAGATCCATCTGCTTACAATGAATCAGAGGGAAGTTAGGCTCTGAAAAGCCAGATTTGGGTTAAAACTCCCTATATTCTGAGATTGTACAGACACAGGAACTTGTAAATAAATTGTGTATTTTTCTGTATTGGATTGGAAGTTGGGTGAAAGAAGACAGGTTAAAAGTGCTTGAGAACTTTTTTGCATCCTAATGAGCTCATATTTTTCTTACTCTGTCCTTTAGTTTGCCAAAAAAACTAGAGTGCATAAAAACATCTGTTTGCAACTGCCTTCTTCGTGGCTCAGTTATCAATGCTTCAAAGCATCATCTGAGACAAAGAAGATCACAGAAGAATTTTTCACTAAGGCAAAGGAAACCACAGAAAAAGTTGCAGTCAACTCTTTTAAGGGACATTCAGCAGTTCCCTCAAGGGACTCTGAAGAGTGATGTGGACACCAGTGCTGAGTGCAGACACTCAGGCCCTACTGTTCAGGGAATTGATCTCTGTCCTAACAGTAAACAGCTCTTGAGTAGCAGACTTTCAAATCCAGTCATACAAACTAAGGAAAAGCAGGTTCATCAGAATCTTATAGGAAGCAATGAAAATGAAACTGATTTGTGGACAAAGATGCAAATAAACAAACACAGTATGTCAGGAACCATTAAAGAAACAGATGACATTGATGACATTTTTGCCTTAATGGGAGTTTAGATGTTTTTATGGGACACTTTTAAGCACTTACAAGCTGGTTCAGTGTTCTGCTGTAAGAGGAACTGCTGAGATCTGGAAGTGCCACTTGGAACCCAGTGAGGAGCTACTTCTGTGTAATTCAGTTCAATAAACATTTACAGTAGTTTTGTGTCAATCAGCAAGTATTTATTTGGCTTCGACTGTGTGCCAGGTGTTAAACATGATGAAAAGTCTGTTACAGATGAATTTCTTGACCAAGGTTGGAAGCTCCTTTAAAAATAGAGTAATTTTATGATATACTAGGAAATAAAGACCCAAATAAGCAAGTTTCCAAAAATTCTCTGTGTCTTAAGGTAAATGGAAAGCAAGGTTGGGGAATGGCTAGGAATCACCTAAAAAGGTCACTTTGGCTTCAATGGCTCTACTCTAGATAGGCCTACCTCTGAGTACCAATGTTTGTAGCTTCTAGCAGGTACTATATTGTTTATATATTAGAATGGATCACCAAAGGGACTCAAAAGTTTTGTCACCAACTATATTACCAGACTGGTCACAACCATTATTTCTTTTCCTTTGTTCACCTTTTTATAGGAGAGCATGTGAAAATACTTTGAGTTTTCCAAAAGGTTTGTTTTTTACTCATGTGAAATACACAGGTTGAGAAAGTAAAATACATGGTTTTTTTTGTTGTTGTTTGGCAGTACTGGGGTTTGAACTCAGGATCTCACTACTACTTCAGCCACTCTACCAGTTGTGTTTTGTGTTGGGTAATTTTGAGATAGGGTCTCATGAACTATTTGCCTGCCCTGGCTTTGATTTGCAGTCCTCCTGATCTCTTCCTGAGTAGCTAGAATTACACTGGTACCTGGCTGCTAATCATAAATTTTAAAATTTGGTGTTAAGACTATTGTCTGGTATTTGTACATGCTTCTACAATTGCTCTAAGAGGGCAAATCTTAACATTTCTGAATAATGATATGAGAGGTATCGTTCAGATGTTCCAATTTGACTAGGTTTATAAACTTTTATGGTAGTCTTAAGTTTTATGTCATTTATAGACATAATAAAAATGATATTCCAGTATGTGCTGTATCCTTTTTCTTGGCTGCCCTATCATTTTCTCTGTTTACTTTCCATTTTTATCCAGTCCTGTCCTTCCTGCTTTCTGCATATTCTCACTCAGTCTATACCAGTGGTTCTCAAACTTTGAGTCACCTAACGGGTTGTTTAAGAACAGATTCCTAGCTACTTCCCAAAGATTGGTAAAACATGGACCCAGAGGATGGGGCCAGAAGTCTGCATGTTTATTTTTTACAAGGAGCCCAGGTGATCTTGATCGAAGCAGCCCAGAGTTAATACAAACTATGGTTTAGCTTCTGTTCTGAAGCCTTAGTTTTTGAGACATGGTCTCACGATGTAGTCCAAGCTGGCCATGAATTCATAATCCTCCTACTTCAGCCTTCCAAGTGCTGGGATTACAGGTATGTGCTTAGCTTTCTGAAGCCTTATTAAACATGCTGTTGTAATTCAGAATTCTCAACTAGTCACTTTGCACTGATTACATTCCTTCTGGCTTCCAAGTGGCAGAGTTACTTGGTCAGTGACACACACTTGTACATTCATTCTCTTGCTAAGTGATGCCTAGGGACTGCTAGCAAGAAGACCAGATGAGATCCCTTGACCTTGTACCTTCAGGACCATGAGCCAAAAGAAATCTCTTTTCTTTATAATTTTAATGAAAAATGCTAACAGCTATTCCCACCCCCTCCAACCACAGATTTATTTATGACAAGTCTACAAATGGCCAGTAACTTCTAAGTGGCTTTGTGTTCAATGTATTCTTTTTACATACTGAGAAATGAAGGTAAATTAGTACTGGTGTGGTATATTTTTGTCACTCATTGGGTCTGGTTTATTTCCTGGGAGTTGTTATAGTCCTCCAAATGGCCTTTCTTCTAAGACTTCATGTCCCAATTTCTGGTTTAGAAGATAAAAGTTTAAAAAAAAGATACAAGGTTCAGCTCTGCTTCTGCTTCTGTTTATTTGCACAGGACTCAACTGAGCTACTCAGTTTTCCTACATAGAGGTTACAGCATCTGAAGTGGCATTTTTGCTCAAGAACCCTAATTTTTTTTTATTTCATTAATGATCTTTTTAATCAGGTCTCTTCTTTTTAAAATCTGCCTTCCACTTTTTTATTTTGTGATGGTAGGGTCTGAACTCAGGGCCTTCTGCTTGCTAGACAGGAGCTCTACCACTTGAACCAAGCCCCCTTGCCCTTAATCTGTCTTCTGTAGTTCTGGGAAAATAGTAAAAAGCTTCATATATGTGCCCACAAAATGGTAATTTATATATTTATAAGGAATATAGTATTTGTATCAGTATTTTTTTAAAAAGATTTAAATATATGTCTTAAATTTAAAAAAATGATTGGTACAATATAATAACCCATACTATACCTAGTAAAGAAGACTAAAGTAATGTCAAGGTCATGATAGTGAATACAGGTTGATGGGTCCTTAATCCAAAATCTGAAATGTGAGCAGACAGGATACTCAAAAAAGTATGGATTTTGAAGTCTTGGATTTGGACTGCTCAACCAGTAGTCATGTAAATATTCCAAAATCTGCCAAACTCCAAAATTGGAAACACTCCTGGTCCCAAGCATCTTGGATAAGGGATAAAAGGAGTACTAGGCATTCAGGTAATTTATAAGAGCAGTGTATGAGGAAATACTGTGTGTCCCTTCAAATCCTGTTGACCATCTTGAGTCAGCCCCTTATGTGACAATCAGTTTTGAGTAGAGCTGGACCTTGCCCTCTCCTCTGGTGACCGCTTACTTTCTGACTCTGGGCTTGTGATAAGCTATAGGAACTGCTTGGCACATGGACATGTACAACTGAGAAGAGAGAATTTAGTCAAAGGTAATTACTCAAAGGTGACTCAGGCACATTTCATGAGTCTCCTCAGAAGATCCCTCAAGATCAAACATCATGCCAACCAAAAGTATTGCATATTTTCAACCAAAAGTATTTGGCAGATTTTCTTTCCTTCTGTTGCATTTCACTACTCCCTGGGATCACTTTCCAAATACTTGATACACTGTAAGAACCTTTGCAAGTGCTATAATGTACCCCCCATCCAGCACAACAATAATAAAAACAAGTTTTAAAAAACCTATCGAGCTTTGTATTAGGCTCTGCTTTTAGGAGAACCCAGGCTCAGATAAGGAGTAAAGTAACACTGGCAGGCAGATAACTTCTAAGACAATTCTTTCATGACATATTTTACTTTGTGAATGCCTGCATTAAATCTTTCTTGGCTTAAAACACTTCTGGTAAGAATAAAACAGACCAATTCCATTAACCATAAAACAACTGCAAATACATTTCAAAACGAATTATCTGAAACTACAAAGTTATATAATTTTAAATCTAGTACCATAGTTGTAATCTTTTAAAAGTTAGTCTCACTTTGAAAAAAGTGAGACATGAATAGGATGGTGTCATGTTTATAAAAATCGCTTTTAGTTCAAAGTAAGGCTTTATCTTTTCATCCTGATCTTTACTGTAGCAATCCTAAACTGTCCCACAAACTTTTTTTCTCTTGCCCTTTCAAACTAATTTTCTCACTTAAATGTGGTTTTGTTACTTCCTCCATGACAGAATGGTTTCTATGGTAAATACCTATGAATTTTGCTGTATTCTTTTGTTGGTTTGGATTTATAAATACGCAGCTGTCTTCATATGTATTACCTCTTGCTTGTGTGGTGACAGTTACATATGAGTTTAAGAGAAAGCAAGAAAATTGTTTAAGATCAACTTATAACAGATGTTAGAAGTGGAGCTTGAATTCTGGTTTTCTCATTGTGAATCCTGTGTTCACCTAAAAATTAATGATTCCAGCCTGAAATGATTGTTATTTCTTTCCAAGACGGTCTTGATAAATTTTATCAAGTATAATTAATATTAAAATAATGACTTGAAAAAAAGATTACAGGCATACATGTAAGCATTTACCCTTTAATTTACCTATCAATGCTTAACAGAAAAGCAGTTCCTTTAACTTAAGTCTATTTTAGTCTTAAAAATATATATATACATGATAGACATTCTCTTTTAAAAGGTAAAAGCAGCATAAATAACATTGGTCAACCTTTCTCTACATAATAGTAACAGGGTTTTGTTTTATAGATTTCTAATGCTCTTCGCCTATTCATTTGTTGAAACAGGAAAACCAGCGAGTATCTGTCCCAGTGAACAGCATAACTTAATTATTTATCAATCTTTTTCCCCCAGGCACAATTTCATTCTTTCTTTGGGAAGATACAGGTTTTAAAGCTTAAGTGATTCTTCTGCAAGTTACAGATAAGCAACACTTAAAACAATACTGAGATTCTTCTAAGTGTTTTAACTCCATTTGACAGAAGGAATTTTGAAACTTCATCTATATTGGGAGCCATCATTTAAGACTTCCTGTTATATTTGCTATAAAGCATTTCAAAAGATGGATTCCAGAGTAGGTGACAACACTGTGAAAAGAAAAGAAAAATAATTTTCTCCTGTATCTCAGTGGTAGTAACAGATCTGAATTAATTTAACTTGTTTTTTTTTAATAAATTCTTGTGAATCCATGTATGAGGTGAAATATCTTTTAATCTGTCTCGACTTTCTTCTCCCAGCTTCTTGTAGTATTCTAAAATCTGATGAGCCAGTTTATCTGACCCAATTCCTTCATGATTCTAAATTTTTTTTTTACCATAAATCTATTTTACTTTTTGCTTCCCAGAATAAGTCTTGATGTCTTTAGTTTATTCTTATGGTAACAAAAATTCATTCACCTTGATAATTTACAACTTTTTTCAGTTTTTTAAATTCACCATCACCTTTGTGACTTTTATTTATCTGTCTTTCTACATCCATCCATTCTTCCATCCATCAATCTATCCATAGGAGCTTGACCATATGGCTTCTCAGGCTGTGAATATACTATGGTTTTATAAATATGTAAACTATTTCCTGCTATATTGCTAATTCCCTTCTTAATTAAGTATAGCATTTTAGACTTTCTGACCAAAGCTACTTCCTTAAAAACAGCCCATAATGATTCATATAACTGAAGTGATACATACACAATTTAAAGAGCTAGAAGTTGGATTCACACACTATCGCAACTAGAATTCATGTGTAATGCTTTTGTCAACCTTTATAATTCTTTGTTCTCAGGGTCAGTTATTATCTACTTGTAATTTTACATTAAAAAACCCACAGAAACAATTATGCCATGCCTATTTATAATTTCTTCCATACCATTTATAAAATAGACTTAGGACCTAGATCAATCCTTAGGGACCTTTCACCATTTATACTTTTCTACTCCACACTGGGTCAGAGTTCAGACATGAAGATTAGCACTTAATTTTTGCCTTCAAACTTGAAAGTCAACCCCCCCCCCATTCTAAACCAACACTTCATCTTTCTCCTACCATACAGAGAAGGAAATAAAACCTGACTTATTTTACAATAGGAACTTGTAAATCTCCTGGAGGGATGCCCTGGGGTTGGTCATGCAAGTAAAAGCAACTCTACTTCTGAATGAGGTTTTGAGGGTTCTGAGTACATTCCTACAAATTGTTATTGTGTTACAGTGAAAGTTCTTGAAGGACAGTAGGCTCACATGTCTTAATTTTTAGATTTTGAGTGCCAGGTAGCCTTTGGCAGTGCCTTGGTCACCTCTGGTTTGTATGATGGCAGCAGTGACTCATTCCAGGGTCATGCAGCAGAGACAGAGACAGCTGGCATATCTAAAGAAGGAAATGCCCTTATGAAGCACTAGGAATCTGATAATCTGGGTCGTAGGCCTGATTACCACTTATTGAATAACCATTGACAAGAAGGAAACTTAACATTATTATGTGCCTAATGTGTAGGAGATACAATAAATTTAATCCTGGTTTTTATATTTTTACCAGCGAGAAAACAGACTCAGAAAATGAAATGAGTTCCTTAAAATCAGAAGCCAAGTATAGAAAAACGTATTTACATTATGCAAAACCCTGGTGTCTGACCTTAAGGCCCAAGCTCTTTCCATTTTAGCAAATACCTCTCTGCAACTCAATTTCTTAGATTTATAGCTTTATCTGTGAAATAAGCATGTTTACTGTGAGGATCAATTATGTGTCTTGAATAATCTAGTGCTATAACCTCCCCAAAACCATCTGTTTTCAGTGAGCTCTAGTTCTCAATGTCAGGTCACAATCTGCCTGGAATGGTCCAGTGACATGTAGTCCACAGTGCTGTGTGACTATTCTTTGATCATTCTGTTGTTTTGAACATCACAATTTCACTGATGCAGTCCAAAAAATACTCAGTTTTCCCCTAGCCACAATTATATTATTAATTCAGTCAACTAAAACTTAAGAGCATTTTTGAACAAATGCTGCTGTTTAGCCATGATTTGCTAGTTTTATATTTATGTTGTTCTTTTAGTTGACATCTCATTTCCTTCTTATTAAACAACTAAAAGAAATAGCTGTGTTTATATGATAATGCTCAGGGCTCAAAGAAAAAGTAGGATTTTGCTCCCACCTCTAGGAATTTCCACTGTATACCTGGGACAAAGACAAGTGAACAGGCTTGACACCTGAGTGTAAGTCAAAGGAGAAGAACGTTTTATAGGAATGGAGGAAGAAGAGTTCCAATGGGCATATTCATGACACTTCAAATCTAATCTAGACGGGCGGGCCTAAAATGACTCCTGAGGGGACAGTTTCACATACAACAAAATGTTACCTGGTTTCATTACTTTCTCAGAGCAACTAGCATAGTGCCTCTCACAAAAAGAGTATGGAAATCAGAGAGGAGTGGTGCTCTATTTCTACCATACTACACATTACATACTGTACCCTACATTACACAATCAGTACAAACCCATGCTTTGTCATGAAATCACAGCTTAATTTCTCAAAAATTACCAGCTCAGGAAATCCCCATGCTGTCAGCTACCACTGTTTAATTTGAACTTACACAAATCATTTTTGGTTCTTAGACGGTCCTTTTAAATAAAATTTTCAGGAAAATTTTTATCCCTATCGGCCATAATATGAGTTTTTTAACCATAAAGTTGTTTTCTTTGAAATTAAGGAAAAAGATGATAGCATCTTTTTATGGCTGTTTGAAAAGTAAAGTTTTCATTTCTGCAGTGGTTTAGGTTGAGCTAGACCACTGAAGCAGAAAGAGAAAGTGCATTCAGGGAAGATCAGCAAGTAACAAGAGAAGGAAGAAAGAATAGAGGGAAGAGAAAAATCGAGTACTAATGGATTGTACCAACAAATCATGGCTAACTACATAGCCTTCCAAATTTTATGTGATACCTCAATATAATAAACACTGACTTAAAGATTTTTAGTACATAAAATCACTAAAGCAATTCAATCTTACCTTACAGGAAACAACTGAGGAAAACATCCTTGAGTTTGTGTATTAACAAATTTCTGGATCTGAAGCACTTGTTTTAAAAGATGTCCCTTGGAAGATTTATCAATTTTTGTTAATACCATCTACAAGATACAAAAATTTAAGCATTAGAAATAAAACATTTTTAATATTCAGTTTTATACATGTAATTACTATTTTTTCAGTTACAACTAGGTAACCATGGAAATTTCTTAATCTGTCCCCATTCCCTCATCTGTAAAATAAAAACAATAACCCATAAAATTGCTCTGAAGATTAAATGAGTTAATATATACAACATATAAGAAATATATATATATATTATGTGTTTGCTATGCTTTAACTACATGGGGCAATAATATCTTGGACTTAAGATTGATCGATCAGAGCCAAATTTCTAATTGCCACCAGTTGTTTCAATATATCTTGTGGTCTAAGATATATAAATGAATATTATTAGGCTGGTCCACATAAAACTGCCAGCTTGTAATAATTTTTGATCTATAAAGTACATCAGCCTTTTAAGTAACACTCTAAAGAAAAAACTTAGAAGTTGGGCTATTTGTAGGTTATACCTACTATAGTATATTCTTGTAGCTACATCTAAATTAGTAACTGATTATAAAATCAATTAAAAAGTAAAATCTCAATCCATCAGTCTTTCCTTGGGAATTTTCATAAAATTAAGGTTCCTGATGAATCATTTATATGCTTTTTAGTCACAGAAAATGCTAACAGCAGGAGGGAGAAGCAGAAAGTGTATGGTTTCTAACAACCCATCGATTACCTCAGATGAGGGTGTTTTCTCATCAAGGCCAACGGGTAGGTGTATATTTATTTAGTTATATGGTTATGGAGTTTGAACCCAGGGACTCATACATGCTAGATAAGCACTCTAGCTGAGTTACAACCCAGGCCCAAATTTTATGTGATATTTTTTCTTTACAGAGCCAGGAATTGGACCCAAAGTGTATTGATGTATCAGTTCCTTTTCCAAAGAAGAAAATAATTATTTCCCAACAGTTAAAACGGAGGAAACTACATGATTTCCCAAATGGGTACCTTTCACACTAAATCCTAAATACTATTATTTAATAAAGCCAGCTTGACAATATTTAGGCAATTTTACCACCAATTCCTTGATACTTTATAACTAAATTATCCCTAATGCTTCACACGACTTTTATAAACCCCAAAATGTAATAACCCACAACAAAAGTGGCTGACTTGTAACACTGTTTGATTTACATTAAACTCTACTGTTACAGTTTAGTGGTTTTCTGATAATATTTGGAAACTAAATTATAGTCCCTGAGTTCTTCGCTTTTCTTTGAAAAGGAACTTTAAGAGTTTTATTTTATCTGGAAGTATTACAAAACAAACTAAATGTGGATATTACCCTACTAGTCTGTATTTGATTCTAGGTCAAATGACAGAACACTAAGAAGATATTTCTAGAAGCAACTCTGTTTTTTAAGAATACAAAAAGCCTGTTATGTTCTTGAATGATTTTTAAATTCTAAATTAGGTTAGCAAATGTTTCAGCTGGAATTTTATTTACTTTTTATAAGTACTATTTGCCAAGCTGCTGTTAAGAACTATTAACAGTTTTGAACAAATGTTTATATTTCCATTAAGAAACATGGAAAAGAGAAGCACGTGGAACATTAAAGGAGCAGCTTTAGAATCTTCTACTTTGACTGTAACTTTAAAAACTTAAAACTGAGAAAAGGGAAAGAGAATAAAAGTGTCCCAGAACTTAAAGTACCTTTCCTTTAGCTTTTGAAGAGGCAAGACCTGTTTATTTATTAAATAGTGTGGGGCACACACTCATACACACAACTGCTATTTCTAACTCCAACCATGAGTCAAAACAAACACTTACCACATAAGGTAATCCAAATTCTTCACACATTTCTATGGCAATATTGTCTGTTTTTGTAATTCCAACAACACTATCCACTAGTAAAAATGTTCTCTTCAAACTATAAGAATGTAGAAAAGAAGTAAGTGGCAATAAAAGATATGCTCATTCATCTGTCCTCTTACCCACTCTTACCATACTAAGAAAATTTTTTTTAATAACTGACAATCAAAAATTAAAAAATTTTTTTACCAAAAAGGAATTAATAATTCACTGAGTTCATCCTATAATCCAATAGGTCTCAATGCTGTTTACTTTCAATAACTAAATTTCCTAAATATTAATTTATTTCGATAAGTATTCTAACACAAAGATGAGTGAGTTCCTTCCTCTAAGACTTTAAACTGTAGTGGGAAAAAGGACACAAATCCAACTCATTATCATATCCAAGTTATCATAGAAATGGTTAACTTTTAAATTATTACTTTAAGATTAACAGGTAGCAGAAACATTGTATTTGCATTTTCTTATAGATAATTCATTTCAGTTTCTATGTAAAGCTACAAAAGCAAAACACTATTTTTTTTCATTTGCATTGCTGAGTATTGAACCCAAAGCTTCTAGCATATCATGCAAGCACTCTATTACTGAGCTACATCACTTGTCTTAAACACTGCACTTCAAAATTTAACATTATTTTTCTACATATACTTTGGTCCTAAATATCGTATTGTAGACTATTATGACAATGAAATGGATCTAATAAAATAAGTCATTTGATAAAACTGAAGTGTTCATCATGTGTAGAATACTTTTGATGAAAATTGCTTTGTGGTTTAAATGTGTAACGTTTCAAGAAAAATTTTCCTTACTTCCTTCGTTCTTTTAGATAGGTCTCTACCATGTCAACAAATCTTCAGGTGTCCACCAATGTAAAATATTTTCCAACTTTGAAAAAATTTCATTTTTCTTTGTGTGCCCCTGATAAAATGGAAAAATAAAAGCTGACTTAAAATTTGTCCTTTTATATACTTCACAACTTGAAATGTTTCAATTCAACCAACAAATATTTGTTAAAAAGCCTGTATATAATCCTACCTATTTTGATGATGAGTTGGTAAAAAAGAAAGAAGGAAATGGCTAGAAATAGTTTAGATTATTATTTTTTAATTAATTTTTCTTAAAATTAGAATCTGTATTAGTTAAAACTTTAGATTTCATACTAGAAATATGTAGGCAAAATATTTTGTGATCTTTCTCATTTTACTATCCATAAAAAGTCACCCTACTGTAAAATTATTAACTACCATTAGTCGATTTCTCAGATGAATAAATGTATTTCTAAAGAGGAATGATGGCACAGATAGGTGCAGTGCTTCTCCTATCAAGATAAATTATCATAACATCAAGATCCAAAGCCTGTAAATTTCTCCTTCTTGACTGTTGCTTCCCTAAAAATCAAGATCTTTTCAGGTTTTTTTATTATGTGGGTTTCAAGTGCTCTGATTAAACAATTTTTGAAAGCATATACAACACTAGAATTATAAGGTATCTGTGCAGTTAGAATTGAACTAAGATGATAAAATATAGTTTATTCATGCTTTTGTGTCCATGGGGCATTTATTAATCAGAAAAGCAAAGATACCATTTTAAAAGTCAATTGCTTGAGTATTAGAAAAAATATTGTCAAAGGAAAGATTTTTATACACGGTGACTAAGTTCCCAGTCAGCTTTTTTGTCCATCTATTAAAAAATGATTTTAGAATTACAAATTGGGAATATGAAGAATAAATCTCATCCATTGTCCTCTTATAAGGAAGGTGATTCATCCTACTTAGAAGATGACAGTTTTGGTTGGTTTATTTTGTGAAGGAGGGTAGGAGGGAAGACAGAAAGATTAAGGAATGGAGAGAATCATTAGTGACAAAGAAAAGAACCTACTACATAAAGTGGGGAGCAAAAGACAAGCTAAGTCTCATTGAAGGATTTCAAGTACCATGAAATGGGCAGGGGGTAGTGAGCATAACAACTGGTGGAAGTTTTTGCCATGACTAAATACTAAGATAAGGGGAACTGGGGTGAGTTTTGAGAAAAGGTTATCTTAGACACTGGTTGAGACTGCATAATTAAGAGGAAGTAAAATGATAGAAAGCTACTAGAGCAGAGTATCTGGGAAAATAAACATATCATCTGGTGCTAGGTAAAATAATATGACTGGTATACTGGTGTGTGTGTGTGAGCATGTGTGTGAGCTAGAATGGTATAAAAGCAAAAAAAAAAAAGAGCAAACTTTAGAGTTGCTTAACCTAAAATCAGTGTAAAACGAGAACTAGACGATCACTCTTGTAGAAGGAAATATCAACTCACAATGAAACACTATTTGGCAACTCTTTGGAAGATTTAGACAAAGGAAGCTTTCCTCAACTACTAAAATAAATGCAGTATATTTTTTTCCAGAGAAATACACAGGCATTAATATCTTACTTTATTATTTGTTTGAAAGAAATCTCTTCTCTAGGAACTTAGCAATTAAGATTTCTTATACCATCCAATATTTATTACTCATTTTAGTCAAGTCAAGAGATAGTGCAGACATATTTAAAAATTTCAACATACCGGTTTTTGGAGACTCTGACTTCAACATCAGGGCCAGTGAAAATAAAGCCTTTAGTAGGGAGGATTTTCCAACATTGCTTCTGCCTATAAAACATACCTTACATAAAAAAAAAAAGAGAATTGAGTACTTGAAGAACTGAGTACACAAAACTCTGTCAACTATTCAGTCTTGCTAAGCCATGTTAAAAAAAAAAGGCTATGTTTAGTCAAACCTGAAATTCTAAAACACAATATT